ATTGGAATTGCCATTAGCAAGTATAAAAACTTTGCGGGAGTTTTCAGGAAGGATTAATGACCTCCAAGATTGACTTCTTTAAATTAAGTCGTTTTCAAAGTAACTGCAATTAAGATATTCAGCAATAAACTAGGTAGAGATGGGCGGGGGGGGGGAGAGGACAGCAAAGATTTAAGAAATGATACATAAAATAATTGTGGCTGTAGGAGTTATACAATACACACTGCAGAATTACTGAAACAATTTATATTGTAATGTTTGGCTACTGTTGTAAAATTGAGAGAGAAGTTCTACAGAAAAATGTTTGGAGTGGGGAGGGAGGTTAAATCCTAATTACAGCAAAATCTTTCCACTCTGAATCTTATTGTGTGCTGTCAATCTGAGTGAAGTTTTTCATTTCTAATTTAATTACTTTTGATTTAATTTGAGCAAAATTCTGTTTAAAATAACTTGAGTTCCCATATTTCAATCTTTGTTTCTGGCTCTCCACTAAAGATATTTCTTGTGGCTGAGGGAAATAACTTGACTTCCTTCCAAGAGAAGGAATCTTGAACAGTACTCGTAATTCTATTCTGCCTCTTGAAGGTATGTTAAAGCTTACAGCCGAAACTCTGGTGCATTGAAAAAAATAGTTAAGCAGCATTTTTGTTGAACTTGCATATGAATCCCATGTAGTTCCTCTTTCACATTAGTTTTCCTTATCTGAATTTTAGGGCTTAATGAATTCCTATCCTGATATCCATGGGAGATTTTTCTGCAGGGGGCCTGATGAATTAATTTAGGAAATGAGTACGTGATCAATTTGACATACTGTAGCTATTGTATAACCAGATTGCTTTTCTTAATTTTACATGGTTTTTCCAGCTGGTCATGTCATTACATAGCAATCCTCTTCTGCCCTCCCATAGTTTGGCAAATGTATTGAAGTTTAAATCTTATTGAAGGTGCTGTGAGCAAGAAAATAATGACCCAAGGAATTCTGAAGTATAAATTTCTACGTACACCTCTACCCCGATACAATGTGACCCAATATAACACAAATTCGGATATAATGCAGTAAAGCAGCGCTCCGGGAGTGCAGGGCTGCGCACTCCGGCGGATCAAAGCAAGTTCGATATAACGCGGTTTCACCTATAATGCAATAAGAGGGTTTTTTTTGGCTCCTGAGGACAACGTTATATCTGGGTAGAGGTGTATTTTCAAAAAGATAGGCCACAAAAAAAACACTATGGGCATATTGCTCCCATATGTAAACCTCGTAACGTACTGCATTATTACATATATTAAAGCAGTGGTTCATAAATTCTAGCCATGACTAAGTGGAGCTTTTCCCATTAGGCTGCAGTGTGAAACATTTTGAGAACCCAGCGGCAAGGAAATGGGTAGCTGGGAGGAAAGGTGGCTTATGAAGGGCTTTTTTTTCTTCCTTTTTTCTTTTCTTGTTTTTGGTGGGGAGGGAGAGGAGAATAGGCAAAGAATGGAAAAAGTTTAAGAATCACTGTCCTACAGTGCATAGAAATGATGATCATCCCAGATGTGCTTATGTCCATTTTGAATATTCCGATGTGGAGAAGCATTTCCTGCTATGTGTAAATTGTAAGATGCATTTGAAAGTACTTCAGTTTTCTGAGTCTGCTATTGGCAGTGGATCTCTTGATGAAGATTCCATTTGTGACAATAGCAGTGTAGCATGGTGTGGTTCTAGCAGCATGACGGAATGCAAATTGTATGTGATTAACTTTTTAAAGTTGCCTTGTATTACTGATGAGTTTTCTATGTACAGCATGTGATTCCCTCACTTCAAAGCTGTGGTTATTCTGAAACTCACTGAAGCTAAAACTTTAGAGATGAACAAATTTAGGAGCATTAGGAGTGTTAATAGAAATGGTGCAGAGAAAGAAGGGCCAAAAACAAAGGAAGAAAGACAAAATAAGGAAGTTACAAGTAGCAGACTGGCCTTGTGGTGTTCTTTCAGGGACCTGTGCCAGAAAGAGAATAGTTAATTAGTTACTCACCACACACAGCAGCATTGTCTTCACATTCCCAGTTATAGCTCTGTATCTTGGGCTTACAGCCTGCTTGCTCTGCCTTACTGTAGCAACAGTCATGCTTAAAGCAGCACCTGACAGCAATAAAAAGATGGATTTATGTTTATCTCACTATAATATTGTGTGGTCATAATGTTTGTAATGCTTTTGTTGGCACGCTTTTCCTATTAACACAGTACACGCTCACTATAACAAACCTGTTGGGATCCATGCCTTTTTGTTATAGCCAGGGGTTTGTTATAGCGAAAGGACAGTCAAAAGGAATGAAACTGCTGGAGTGAGTTAATGAAGTCGCGTTAGATAAAGGAGTTAGCTTAATTAATAAAATAATGATGATACCTAAGGTTAGGAGTTAGTCACAAAGGTGATTTTAGGTGACTTTTCCACCTTCAGCCATCCTAGAGAGGGTCAGGCTGTCAGCCCCTGCAGCAGCTGGGTTCCAGGCTGTCAGCCCCCACCTCAGCGGGGCTTTGGTTTCAGCCCTGGGAGGCTGGATGTGGGCACGCTCCTTAGTTTCTGCCCTTGGGCTTAACGTGATGCTGAACAAAAATTGTGCATGCATATACAACATCTTTTTTAATAAAAAAAAAAAAGACTGTCCTGTAGTTGGGATCCAGGGACCAGGTCCGTTATAGCAGAAGGTTTGTAATAATGGCATTATAGCAAGGGTGTACTGTACATAGACTGTGCAACTACAAAACACTAAATGTCTCCATGAACAAATTCTTCTAGATCCAGTCAAGAGTCTTAATGAGAGAATAGATAAAATATAGCACTTAAACAACATTTTTTTGCCATGTTTATTCATATATCCTAAACCAGTATTGAAGAAAACGAGTAGAATATCTAAGATCCACAGTACCTAATCTAGCTGTGTGTGTACTTTTTTGCTCTCAAATGATCCTATCAGGATATTTTGGCAGTATTCTCTAATCACAGTGACCTTTGTGTCTCCCAAGAAACTGCCCAGTGACAGGGCCCAATCACACTACAGCTACGTCCACGCTACACACCTCTTTTGGTAGCAGGTAGTGCATATATGTAGCTCCCCTTTCCAGCATCAGGGAGCTGGCAGAGCCTTGCCCCACTGCCAGAGCTTTTTCCTGCAGTGCGAGGAAGGGCTTCAGCAGAGGGCAGGCAGCTGGAGGCTACATTGCTACAACTAGCAATGTATCTGGTGACGCATGGCTTAGGCAAGTAGAGTAAAGACAAGTCTGAAGTGTGCAGGTATGTAGTGGAGTACATATTCTACATGGCTCAGAGCCCCACACACTCAACTACATACTCCCTTCAGGTGTGCCTTTATTTGCCTAAGTTGTGCCTCACTGTCTCCATTGCTGTTTATACCTGGAGGGGATTACATGGGTATGTACACTACACACCATGAAAATAAGTGTGCAGTATAATAGTACACTGGCACAGTTGTCTGCCACAGTTAAGGGCATCCATTTTTGTTTTTTATTACTAATCAAGATAAGAAATGCGGTAAGATCTATTATGAAATAGTATTGTTTAAAGAAAGACATTACTTAAGCTGTAACACTGTCCCTTAATTGTGGTAGAGAACCAAGCAATACCTGTAGAGTGTATGGCCCTACAGTGAACAGACATGACTACTGTATAATCCAGGGGTGGGCAAACTATGGCCTGCGGGTCGGATCCGGCCCCCCAGGGCTTTGGATCCAGCCTGCATGTGCCCTGCACCGCTCTCAGAAATGGCAAGCACCACGTCCCTGCAGCCCCCAGGCAGGGGGGCAGAGGACTCTGTGCATTGCCCTTGCCTCCTGGCACCGCCCCCCGCAGCTCCCATTGGCCGGGAATGGGGAACCGCAGCCAATGAGCGCTTCGGAGGAGGTACCTGGAGGCGTGGCAAGGGCAGTGCATGTGGAGCCCTCCAACCCCCCTCCCCCAGGGGCTGCAGCGCTTCCTGGAGCGGTGCAGGGCCGGGGACAGGGCAGGCATGCAGGGAGCCTGCCCTGGCCCGGTGCACGCCGCTGCCACCCTGGAGCCCAAAACCCTCCTGCACCCCAACTCCCTGCCCTAAGCCCCCTGTCTGCACCTTGCACCCTTCCTGCACCCCAACTCCCTGCCCTGAGCCTCCTCGTACACCCAGGACCCCTCTTGCACCCCAACCTCCTGCCCTGAGTCTCCTGCTGCATCCCAACCCTCTGCCCTGAGCCCCCTCCTGCATTCCACCCCTCCTGCACCCCAAGCCCCTTCCCTGAGCCCCCTCCCACACCCCGCACTCCCTCCCACACTCCAACCCCCTGCCCCGGCCCTGCATACAATTTCCCCACCCAGATGTGGCCCTTGGCCCAAAAAGTTGCCCACCCCTGGCATAATCAGAATAAAAGCAGAATTGTTGCTTAATTGGGATTTATTGGGACAGCACTGATGAATTAAGTTAAGTGTCATTTAATGAGTGAAATTGAATTGCTAATGTAGAAAAAAATTGGGGGTAACTCAAAGTGACTCACCCTTCCTGTTTTGTGTTTTTTTTTTTTTTTTAAAGCCTTCATAATTAGCACAGCTAATATAGAAAAGCTATATAGGAAAGAGTATTTTATTGTAAAATTGCTAGCATTTCATAGACCTTCTCGATTCTTGAGCCAGAGTCACTACTCTGGCAACTACCTTTGACAACTGGGGACATTTTGGGGGGATCTGGAATTAGGGGGCTGTAGGCTCTGCTACAAACTCTGGAGTCTGAACTATGCAATAGTTACTGATACACTCTTTTTGCTCAGATGGAGAGTAGGATGTGTTAGTGAGCCCTTTTTCCTCAGTGATGACATCTGGTCTCATCTGGTGACAAACAAATATAGTATTGCAGTGCGTATATCATTTTTTTTTAGATTGGCATGTTTCACTTTTTAGGATCTGGACCTACGAAGATTTAAAAAGTAGTGCTTTGACTCGCAGCACTATCAAGAATTTATTTTTCTTGATTTCACAAATTGCTGCCAACAGTGAATAAACAAGTGTTTTTTATCTTTCTTTTCTTTTCTTTTTTCTTTTGCTAAAATTTGTTAAACTAATACTTGGCAGCTCGACATGACCTTTCATCTAAAGATTGCAAAGTGCTTCACAAACAAAGTTTCACAATGCTCCTGTGATGTAGGTAAATGTAAGTATTTGACAGATAAAGAAACAAAGCACAGAAAAAATTGATGACTTGTCCAAACTCCCTCAGCAGGACTGAGGTAGTCAGAATATAGTCCAGGAAGCCATGGTTCCCAGCACCATGTTCTAACTACTAGATTATGGTGCCTCACGGACTTAACATTTATTATGTTTATGGAAAAACAAACCGCCTTTGCCTAGCTGAAGTTGGGGAATTAATTTTTAATCCATTTGTGTTTCAAATGCTTAAATACAGAAGTGTGTTTAAGAATTGCTACGTCTTTCTTTTGATTTTATGAAAGTAACATAGCTGTAGTGATGTGATCAAAACTTCAAGAAATAAAACCGGGAGAATAAGAACGCAACTGCCCTTTGTGAAACCCAAGTATGCATAAAGGTCTTGTGCTTTCTAATTGCTGTCCAAATTGAGAAGCTCTGTAAAGATGTCTTAAAAACCAAGACAAAAGAAGGCAAGTTGTGTACCCACTAAACCCATACCACAAATAGCTAGCCATATTTTATAAGCAGGAAGCTGGCTTGCCACCAGGGGCTCTTTATGGCATCTGAAAAAATATACACCAGAAGGAAGGATTTGAGCTTACAGTGACCACAAGCAAAGATAATAGTCTTCCTTCCATCTGTATTCTTAATTTAGTAATTAAAGTAGCAATTACCTTCCACAAAGTTGTCTACAAAATAAATGTCAGAAGTTGCATTCAAAAGCTTCAAATATCCAGACAGAGGATCATAAAATTTACTCCACGTAGTCAAGATTTCAGTACAACAAAGGAGTTTAAAATGTGATCTGTTTGTATATTCTCGCCCGAAAAATATTCAAAATAAAGTTCTGCTTTCCTGTTGGTTACAATACCATTTACTGTTAGGGTACCAACATCCCCAATTTGGGGTGCAACAGATAATGCAGAGGAGGGGAGTATCTTAGTAGATTCATATTCCCAATGATGATCTTTAGGAGGCATTTTGTAGGTGTTTACTTGGTAGTATGGTTACTACCAAGTGTCGTTTAAGATGGTAACATCAGTATGGATCCCACTGTAACCACTCATGCTCATGTAACCAGATCTTCTTCTTCGAGTGCTTGCTCATATCCATTCCATTAGGTGTGTGCGCGCCGCGTGCACGATCGTCGGAAGATTTTACCCTAGCAACACCGGCGGGTCGGCTGTGGAGCCCCCTAGAGTGGCGCCTTCATGGCGCTTAATATCTACCCCAGCCGGCCCGGGGCCCCCTCAGTTCCTTCTTGCCGGCTACTCCGACAGTGGGGAAGGGGGGCGGG